CTGTGTCAATTCATCTTGTTGAAGGTCTTCTTCTTTTTTGCTGACCTTCCTCTTTACCAAGGATAATGTCCTTTTCCAGTGACTGGTCCTTCCTAATAACATGTCCAAAGTAAGTTGTTATTTTCCCTTAGAATTTTAATTGTTATCTATGAAGAGTTAATCTGATACAAGCTTCTCTAGCATGAACAGAATGGAAACTGCAGTATCTGCTTAATGGGAAAATGTGGAGAGATTTACAATATGAAATAATCACCACCATCTTCCCGGAATATTTTTGCCTGAACAAATTTTATACTCACACACTCATGACACATCTCTCTTCTCTTGCCTAAATTCCAATGGTTTAAATGTGTATCCAATTAAGCTTTTCAAGCACAAGAAATAAACAATGCCAGATAATAAAATCATTTATAAGAATACTTTTAAAATGGAATTTCACTTAGAATTAAATAAAAATTTCTGATTGTGGACTCTAATGCCTTACATGGTCTGACCCTGGATACCACTCCAACCTTATCTGTTACCATTTTCTCCTTGGTTCATTATCTCCACCCACCCTAGCCTTCTTCCCATGGCCATCGAGTCAATGTCGACTCACAGCAACCCTATAGCTTCTTTACTGTTCCTCAAATACCACAGAGCACCAGCTGTTCCTATCTCCTAAAATGCTCTTCCCTCAGATCATTGCACGGTTGCACCTTCTAATCACTCAGGTCTCTGATCATATACCATCTCCTCAGAGAAGTGTTTTCTGATTACCTAATCTAAAGAGCTCCTCAGCAGCCCCTCCCTACTCAATGATGTTCTATCGCCTTTTCCTACTTTATTTTCTTCAAAGCTTTAATCACTATTTGAAATTATTCATCCTTTCCCTGTTTATTGTTTGTCTCCCTGACTAAAATGTAAGCCTCAAGAGGGCAGAATCATTGTGTCTTTGTTTGTCTTGTTCACCAGTAAATCTTCAGTGCCTAGAACAGCTATATAATACAGAGTAATATTTAATAGATACTTACTGAATAAATAAATGAAGCATAATATGGGAAATGTTGACATAAAGCTAACATTTGTTTCCTATTAAACACATATGATAATAAGGTAAATTAAGATAACTAAAAATATCTGTGTAAAAAATAAGCAGTATTGTATAAACTATAAGGTCCTTACATTTAGTTTAAAATCAAGTCAATATTTCATTTTACTCTGGGGCAGTGAAACATTACACAATATATTATAAAATCATGTGAATCAACAAACCAAGTATAACTTCTCAATTAGTAGGCAAAAAAAATTAATAGTTAAAAAAAGTGTGTTGATATGACTGTCAAAGTTGTTTAACATATAGAAATGAGATAAACTCACAGTAGTAAAATTTGGGGATGAAGGGGCATGTAACATCACGGTTTGAATTAGGGAGATAGGCTGTTTTGGAGTTCAAAGGACAATAGTTGCTTATTAATAGCATTTAGCTTCAAAAGATTTATCTGTGTGATGGTTAAGATTGTATGTCAACTTGGCTTGGCCCTAATTCTCAGTGGTTTGTTACGTAATGATGTAATTTGGCAGTTATGTCATGATGTAGTCATTCTTCATGATGTGATCTGATGTAATCAGCCAGTTAGTTGTAACAGGAGTTTCTTTGGGGGTGTGGCCTGCATCCAATATATATATGGACATTCTGGCAAAGCTCACTTGCTTGTTCTGGATCCTGAATCTAGTTCATCATCATCTGACGTCTGGTTCTTGGGACTTGAGCCAGAAGCCTGCCATATTGCCTGCCAACCCTGGGATTCGTCAGCCTCCTCAGCCTGTCAGCCAGCAGCCTGCCATCTGACCTGTTGATTTTGGATTTGTCAGCCTCCGCATCCCATGAGCCAGTGTCTGGCCGTCTGACCTGCCAATCTTGGGTTCATCAGCCCCTGCAGCTTTGTGAATCAGGAGAAGGCTCCAGCCTGATGCTTGACTTATGGACTTGAGACTTGCCAACCTCTACAACTGCATGAGCCATTTCCTTGAGATAAATCTCTCTCTCTCTCTCAAGGATGCTTGTTAAATTGGTTCTCAAGTCTAACTAGTCTTAAAGGTGCTGATGATTCTGCCTCCAGCAGTGAAGAGGATATTGCTAATCCATGGTGTGAGGTGGCAATATTAATACACAAAACATCACCACCAATAGATCAAGTATTAGTGAGAAGTGGGGCTCTGGGTGATCACGTTTGATACTTTTTGACAATTTTGTCAGAATGAGAAGTATAGGGTAGCTGGTTGGTTGGTCCTCCTTTCTCTAGAAAAAGTGATGAAAGAAAGGTATGAGCTCAGGGCTTCAGAGTCACAGGTCAAGTGCCATATGAAAGACCTCAAAGTTGCCACTTGTGCCCTGAAAGAAAGCCTTATCTCTTGTAGTAACAGAGCTGATATTGCTGAAAACCAATCCCACGGTCTTAACGTAAGAGTGGCTGAATTTCAATGTCAACTGAACTCCCAACCTTGAATGGTGTCTGAAGTTAAAGTGAGGGCATTGATTGGGAAGAAATGGGATCCTGAAACTTGGAATAGGGACATATGGGCAGAAAATCAGGAAGCTGGGGCCACTGAGCCCCTAAATTCCACTGAACCACTCCTGCCAACAGAACTAGCCCTCTTACTCCCATCTGAAGAGATTACTCCATCGTTGTCTGCTAAGCCACCCTCCTCAGTAAAACTGTTATCCCCTCCAACCCCATCTGATGAGACAAACCCAGCTGTGTCTGAAGAGCCTTTGAGTCATCCCCTGGGGCATTGCCTGGGGTAGGTGGCTTACAAGACATTGCTGAATGTTTCCAGAACCTGCTCCCACCACCTATTTTTGTTTCTAAACCTATAAGTAGACTTAAGACCCAGTGAGCCCCAAAAGGTGAAGTACAAAGTATAACCCTGGAGGAGGTCTGCTACACTCTAAAAGAACTGCTCGACTTTTCTAATATGTACAAACAGAAACTTGGGGAATATGTGTGGGAATGGCTATTAATGATATGGGATAATGGTACAAAGAACATATACTAGGATCACTCTGAGTTTATTGATATGGGTCCACTAAGCACAGATTCCTCATTCAGTGTTCATCAGCTCCTGCAGCTACGTGAGTCAGGAGAAACCTCCAACACATGGACTTGGGATTTGCCAGCTTTTACAACCGTGTGAGCCATTTCCTTGAGATAAATCTCTCTGTCTGTCTCTCTGTCTATATAGGCTTTACTGGTTTTGCTTCTCTAAGGAACCCAGCCTAAGACACTGGTTAATTGTAAAAAATACTTTCTTAAAACACAAAACAGGCAACTCAAATTCAAGTCAAAGCAGTAATAATGATAATAATAACGCTATGTGCTTAGTAATCATTTTTGAGGCTTGCATTAATAGACTTTATGTTTATTATTCTTTTTATTAAAATTACACTATTTAAATTAAGTCAGACGTGAAATTAGCTTTGGAAAAAAATCACTTTGGTGTATTATTTAAGCCTTTCAAGATAAAACACATGCAAGTTCTCCCAATTGTGCAGAACTAAGAAGACATATGAGGTGTAAAATGGACATTTATTTTTATTATTTTCAATAGATGATCAGTGTTATAGTAAGTTTCTCAGAAATCATTTTAACAAATCCCTTCATGGCACAAAACTGCCATAGAAATTTTCCTAGTGAATGGCAGATGGGGTAGCTAAGTTTCACATGCTTGTTTTCCAAATGTAAAATTCAGTAGAGTGATGTTGACAGAGGAAAAATTGATTCCTGAAATGTGGATATGTTAGAAATGTAATACTTTTTTTTTTTTGGCATGATGTTAATAATTCTCACCTAAATTAATCAAGCCAAATTAATTGCTACAGTAGGAACGAATGCAAATAAATTTCATTAACAAAATAATTTAAATAGATGAAACTTTACTTCTATTTCAATTGATTCTCTTGTAAAATTTTCTGTAAGAGCCATAGCTTCACCAGAAATGTTCAAAGGGACTGATCCACAGATCTAACTACAAAGGAACTACAAAGGAACAAACTAATAAATAAATAACATAGAAAATAAATAATACCCTGGCTTCACACCTAAATCATTTAACAGTATTAGAGTTGGATGTGCCTATTTTATTGCTCTTTACCTTCAAATTATTTAGAAGAACAGAGACATTCTAACTAGTGACTGTCAAATAAGCCCACTGTTGCTTCTGAACTAAGCTTAAATTAAAAATAAACAAAAATTCCCACTCATGGTGACCCCATGAACTCCTTAATCTTGATTTCGAAATGTTGCCGCTGTTATGGTTTTTGTTTTGTAACCTGATTTCCACCAAAAGGATAAAAATAAAGAAAGGTGACCCTGGGTGCTATGTTAACCCAGAACTAAAACCATTCCTGAAGACCATTCTTCAGACAAAGATTAGACTGGACTGTAAAACATAAAATAATACTCATGAAGAGTGTGCTTCTTAGTTCAAGCAGATACACAAGACCAAAGGGGTGGCTCCTGTCCGGAGGCAGAATGAGAAAGCAGAAAGGGGCAGGAGCTTGTTGGATGGACTTGGGAAGCCCAGGGTGGAAAGGGGGAGTGTGCTGTCACATTGTACGGACTGCAACTAGTGTCACATGACAATATGTGTATAAAATTTTGTATGAGAGATTAACTTGAGCTGTCAATCTCAATTTTCACCTAAAGTACAATTTAAAACAAAAACAAACAAAAGAAACATTTGAAAACACTAATAATTTGCAGGACAATGTTAATTGTTTATGTTAAATAAAGATATATTAAAAAAAAAAAAAGAAAGGCGAAAATGGAGGGTGGGGAAGTTTTAAGGTAGGATTATCTCCATTATCTCTGCAGGCAGGCAAATTTTTCCCTTAAACAAACTTTCCTGATATGCAACTGTCAGATTATGTTGAAGTAAAAGATTTACAAGAGCAAAGAGATAATTATGTGAATAAATATTTGGAAGTCTATAGGACGTCAAAGCATTTGACGTTGTTTTTAATACGTCTCGTCTTTTACCTGCATAGCTACATAAGACAAATCACTCTGTTCACTCTTGCTATCCCAGTCTGTATCTGTTTCTGAATCAGTGGACTAAATGTCACAGAGGGAGAAAGCTCTAGACCACAATTCTGTCTGACTAGTTGCGTTACACAGACATTTTCTGAACATTTTCACTTAGGCTTGAATACCCGAAAGAAAATAAACACAGGTACCTGTGAGTTAGACCTCGCCTTTCATCTTTCCTATAAGAAAAGATCAATTTATCAATCAACTCAAGAGTCAAAACATACCCACACTACAGTGAGGGGGCCTTTTCAAAGAAATTTGTGTACTTTAATGCACTGGGCCTTCTTCACAGGGAGTAGGTACTGAAGTGACATCATTAGATCGATTATCAGCACTGACTTGCCTTTGTATAGCTTCATTTTTACATACAATCTGAAAATATAAATATGAGAAGAATTATATCAAAGGCAAGTCTACCTTGTATGGTTTATATTCTAAAAATTAAAAGTAGTAAAAGAGTATAGCTAATATTCTTCAAGGTCACATATTAGTAAGGTTGGAATTTGAACCCAGGCAAGTTGGCTCCATAGTCAAAGCTCTAACACACTCTGCTATACTGTTCTTTATACTTCTACCTCATAAATTGCTAAGTGTTCTGGTTAAGTAGAAGTCTATAAGCTGATTTACTTGCTAACAACTCATTTTTTCCCCTTAAATCAACAGCTGGAAGGGAGAATACTAGTATTAAATTACTGGATGTCATAGCAGTAGCATTATTATAGAAAACCTCATCATCAGTCCTTTATACCTTAGAGAGAAACATTTGATTAAGATAATATGATTGGCTTTAGAACTTTCCTGAGAAGAGTTACATTGTGAAATGGAAATTTTGATATGTGGGTGAAGTTACAAGGTAGAAGCAAGAAGTGGATACTTAGAAGATAACATAAGGCTGAGTACCTAGAAGGTATGTGGAAGAGGCTAAGACAATATATCAGAAAAGGCAAGAGGGACTGGGGAAAGAGAAAATAGGAAGTGATAGAGAAATGAAAACAAAGTTAAACTACTTTTCAATTTTGCCTATGGCCTTGATAGTAGCAATGCCTTCAGCCCACTGAAAAATATTTTAGAAGACCTATTTTGGTTGTTGTACCATCAGCTATTAATATCCAAGTTAAATAAACTTTGTAAAGAAACTTTTGTGAAGGGTCCCTTTGTAATATGATTAATTACACTGACAATTACTGAGGTTTTAAATAAAAATTTAAAGGGCTTATCTTCATTGTTTCCAAAATTATGACCAATTTTCATTGGCTACAACTACTTCTAAGCCAAGTATTATACAAGTCTATAATAAATACATGTTTCTTTACAAAATAGATAAATGCCCGATAAAATGGAGTTTTAGGAATTAAATCAGGCTTTTAAAAATAACTTTTGTTCTCTTTATAACAATAATATTTTTTATCACTGAGAAAAATTGGCACCACACAGAGAAGCAAAAACAAACTAAAAATTAGCCATAGTCTCACCACGTAGAGCTAACAACTTCATATTTTGATGTATATTTTTGTCTTTTTCTATGTATTTTTTTTAAAAAATAGATCATACAATGTTTTATAACCTAGTTTTCCCCATTAATATGTCATGAATGTTTCTTTGTCATTAAATATTCTACATCATCATTTTCATGGTGGCATAGTCATAAAGTCTATTGTGGAGATGTATCATAATCTATTAAGACAATCAGTATTATCAGATATCTTGGTACATGAACTTTTGTGTACTTATCTGATTACCTCTTCATATTAAAAAGTTCAAGGCAGAATTTTCAGGTATGTATGAGATGTTTCAAAAGAAAAGATGCAGAATGAGGCAGAGAGCTATAAAAGGATGGAAAATATAGAAGCGATCTTAAGAGATATAGAGGATAAAATTAAAAAGTCTAAGATATGATAGTAATTGTAGTCCCAGAAGGAGGGGGGAAAATGAGGCAGAAGCAAGATTTAAATAATAGATGAAAATTTACCAAAATGGAAAAAAGGCATCAAGACATGGTTTTGCAAAAGTACTATAAACGTTTGTATTTATCAAAATAAAAACAAAGTAAATTGTATCCATGTACATCATTTTAAAACTTCTGAAAAGCAAAGAGAAAAACTTAAGAGTAGCCAGAGGAAAAAAAGATACATTCTCTTCAAAGAGGAAAACGTAAGAAAGAATAATGCCTGAACTCTTAAGGATACAGAAAAATTGAAAGTAAAAGGATGGAAAAAGTTGTAACATGCAAACACTAACTTAAAGGAAGCTGGTATAACCTAAAGAAAGCTAGTATTAGTGCTATATATCTATATTTTTGAAGCTGATAAAATTGTTAGAATTAGAAGAATAAATATGCAAATTAGAAATCACAGTGAAAAATTTCAAGACATCTCTCACAGTAACAGAATAAGTAAGCAAAAAATCCATATGGATGTAGAAAATTTAAACAACATGAAAAATTAATCTAATAGAAATATACAGAATACTGTACCCAATTCAGAATGCACATTCATTCCACAACACCTTCTATTTGCCACACTGTACTGGAGGTTCTAGCCAGTGCAACTGGAAGAATAAGAAATAAAAGCATGGATATCAAAAAGTATTTGCAGATAATATTTTTGTACACATACAGCATCCAAAAGAATCTAAAAATTACTGGAATTAAGGAGCTTAATAAGGTTGTTGGATATAAGGTCAACAAAAATCAATTTACTTACATATATGTATAGAAAATAAAATTTAAAACAATACCATTTATGATAGCAAAATCAAATAGCTAGGATTAAATCTAATGAAAGATGTATAAGACCTCTACACAAAAAGCCATAACATATTTTTAAGAGAAATTAAAAAACCCAAATAAAAGGAGGACTATACCATGTTCATGAATTGGAAGAATCATTATCATCAATATGCCATTTCTCCCCACATTCATCTATAAATGCAATACCATCTAAAATCAAAATCCTGGTAAGGAAATTGTAGAAAGTGACAAACTGATTCTAGAATGTATACGGAAATTTAAAGGGTCAAAAATAGCCAACACATCTATGCAGATGAACAAGATAGGAGGAGTTAATCTATTGGATATTAATTCTTAATATAAGCTACAGTAATTATGACACTGGCAATGGTGCAAGGATAGGCAAACAGAAAATGGAACATAATAAAAAATGTGGAAACAGACCTATGTATATACGGGCACTCGATTTTTGACAAAGTTGATACTGCAGGGCAATGAGGAAATGCTAATCTTTTCAATAAAAGATGATGAATCAAAGATGATGAATCAATAAAGAATTTCTATATGGGGGAAAAATAAAACTTGATCCCTATTACATACCATACCCAAAAATAAATGCCAAATGGGCTGTTGATTTGAATGTGAAAAGTAAAAACAATAAAGTTTCTAGAAAATAACACTATAGAAGGATTTAAGCATTAAGCATAAGGAAAAAGACTGGTAACATGGACAGCATTAAAATCAAGAACTCCAATACATTAAAAGACAGCATGAAGAGTGAAGAGGCCAAGCCACACTGGGAGAAGATATTTAAAACATAGTTAACTGACAAAAGACTTGAAGCCAGAATTTATTACGAACACTAACAGAAAAATGGGGTAGATTTAAACAGGCATGTCACCAAAGAGGCTACCAAATGTCCCATAAACGTTTGAAAAGATGTTTCCTTACTAACCAGGAAAATGCAAAGTAAAACTACCGCTACACACCCTGCAGGACTCAAAAGTGAAAGACTTACAATTCCAAGTGTTGGCAAGAATGTGGAACAATGTAAATTTTCATATGCTGCTGGTAGAGTGTAAATTGTAAAACTATTTTGAAAACTATTCAGCTTATCTACAAACGTTTAATATATGCCCACCTAAATCCCAGCAATTCTAGGTATATGCTGTCAGAAATGTGTGCACATGTGAACCAAAAGGCATATACAAGAATGTTTATAGCAGCAGTACTTATAATAGTCTCCAAAAGTTAACAACCCAAATGTTGAACGTAGAACCCACCCACTACTGTCAAGTGAATTCCAACTCACAGCAACCCTACAGGACAGAGTAGAACTCCCCATAGGGTTTCCAAGACTGTAATCTTTACAGAAGCAGACTGCCACATCTTTTTCCCATAGAGCGGTTGGTGGGTTCAAACCGCTGACCTTTTGGTTAGGGGCCGAGCGCTTTAACCACTGCACTACCAGGGCTCCTTGAACTTGGAACAGATGAACAAATTTGGTATAGTCATACAGTGCAATACTATATAATAATGAAAACAAACTACGCTATATGCAACAATATTGATGAATCTCACAAATACAGTGTTGAACGAGAGAAGCCAAACGCGTAAGAATGGCTATAGTGTGATTCCACTTATATGAAGTTAAAAAAAAAAAAAAAGCTAACTTGATTACCTTTGAGGTGGGGGGAGGAGCTGGGGATTGGGCTGATACAGGGGTTCCTGATGAGCCAGTAATGTTCTATTTTTTTTTATCTGGTGGTGGTTACACAAGTATGCTCATTTTGTGATAATTTAATGAACTGTCTACTTAAGGTTTGTGGACTTTTCTGTATATTGCTTTACTTCAATTAAACAGTTAAAAGAAATAGTTGGATAAAACACACACACACATAAAACCAAGGGTACAAAATTAACAGTTAAGGAAAAATAATAGTCACAGCTGCATGAAGCAAAATATTTGACAGTATACAACCCTGCTTAGAGTCCCCCTTCCTTTCTTGGAGGTGGCCCCTAATCTCTTCTCAAGCTCCCTAAAGACAGTGTCATGGATTGAATTGTGCCCCCCCAAAATATCTGTCAACTTGACTAGGTCATGATTCCCAGTATTGTATATGATTGTGTAATCTGATGTGATTTCCTTATGTGTTGTAAACTCT